GCTTGAAAAATTCATACTAAGGACTATCTGTGCGTTTCGTTTGACTCTCCACAGACGCCGTTCATGTGGAACTTGTGGGTGCTCTCTGCACTGAAGCTTAGGTGGCCATGCTGGGCCGCTCCGTATCGCGTCGCTGTTTGCAGACCTGATCCGGTCAGATTGCGGAACGAATCATAGGGGCACAGATATGTGTTTGAAAGAGGTCGTCTGACTTCTGTCCAGTAACAGGACTTATTTAGGTGCTGCGATGTCCAGGAAGGGCATCCAGTGGAGGTTCGACCCTCCGGCTTGCCCACATTGGGGCTGTATTTTTGAGGCGGTGGTTAAGGTTGCAAGATCTGATGGGGTGCCTAAGGTGGCTTAGTTTTGGTTGTACAGTCAGTTTTGCAACGCGCTGTCGCGACCCTGTCCCGCTTGCCGGTTTGCTCGCGGACATAAGTCCTTATGTCCGGGACGGGGGTTTGTTTAGGCTAAATATGGTCATTTGAGACGGCATCCAATCGCCTTCGACTTATCGAATCGCCCGATAGTGTTAGGTGTCACGCGCGTCGCGGGGAGGGGGCATCGGTATGCAGCTTCCCAGCGCTTGGCGACCAGCTTTTTGGGTTTATGGTCCAGATTTTTAGTATTTGTGCACGTTACTTCGCTACTGAATTGTGGTTTCGTGAAGACCGCCTCGGTTTAGTTTGTCTAAGTTGAACGTTTGTGACAAGAGGCTTATTTTGAATTTTTTTTTATAGGATAAGGGTGACAAACGAGCACACAGTCCACCTGATGGTAAGTGGTTGCTGCGGCCCATAGACATCTACATCTATCCTCTATTACAAATCAAAATGTAGATGCGTTGTCACCTGTGAGGACTAAGATGGAATGCCTCATTTCCAGTAAAGAGGGACTCCGGCCACCTGCACTCACCAAGCGTAACGCAGAGGTAAGCCTCTATTTCACGCTGGTTTTCTGTGAGGTCGTGGTACCACCCCGGTTCGAGCTGGCCCATCCGTGCGACAGCAAAAGCTGCCGCGTGACTCTACCACTGTTAATGAATTTGAGTGATTAGAATAATTTCGTTGCAATTGTACCGTCGCGTTAAGAGCCTTTTGTGTGTTGACTCTTTAGTTGCTTTGCGTGTCAGCTAGGTTGATTTTGAATTCTTATTGCGACGTAGTATTTAATATAGTACGAAGGAATTTGGTTGTTGGTTGTAACGCTGAACTTTGTGACTCGTGAAGATATCGCGTTAGTTCCCTATTTGTAATTTGGTGATAAATTAATCCGGAACCTTGAATATTGAACTTTGAACTACTGTTCGTTACTTGTGTCGGGTATCACGTGTTTGATTTTACGATGAACGTTGAATTAGTTGAGTTGAAGTTAGTTAAATGTACAATAAAATTGATAGACTGAAATAGTGACATGAAGAAAGAAGTTGTCACTTGGTGACGCCTGCTGGAGTGATGCAGCATTGTGGGGCAGCATGGGACCAGGCCGCTGCCCGGTCACCTCAGCTAGGCCAGGTCACATAAATATACACACCACTAAACACCACTTTACATGTACCTACAACTACCTACGACCTGACCGAGCCTTGGTGCGGTCTTAGCTTCGGATCCAGGTACGTACTATTTATTTACCTAGCCTCCTCCCTATTGTGTAGTATGATAGGTCAACTGTCCATATGGCCATTTGGGACAGAACCCTCGCCTGCCCGTCGAGGAGGCTACTATGGGCCCTAGCCAAGGCGACTTTGCAGGGGCAGCTGGGGGCCGTAACAATATAATAAGCATTATATTTTATTATACAATAAACTTATGAAATTATGACATCCATTCCTTTAATTATTACAATAACAAACAGGTATAATTTCTAGTAGCACGTGGCCATTATGGATATTAGCAACCAGCTTCAGTCAAAAAGGCTACATAGGTGTTGTCGCTACGGTGGAGTGTGGTGGAATCTTTCAAAGCCTGAGAAGTAAAAAATACTAACACACATCATAAAATTAAATACATCAACAAAATTACATGTATATATATCAACCAAACTTAAATCACATTATCGACGTTTTCGAACGATTTTACTTATTTCTCGTATTGAAAAAAAATAGTTTAGGTAAATATTGAAGTCTTTCAATATATTTACTGTTTTTCCTTATGACTACTGTTTATTACATATTTAATATTTTTGCAAGATGCCGGTTAGCCCTATATATTATCTATATATAATACAATGTATATCGCTGTAGTTTTTTTTGCGCGGCAACAGATGTGATCATGTGTCAACTCAGTACGAATAAAGTAATCATTGAGTGAAGACAGGTTTCTTTCATTATTTCACCTGCAAGCAAAAGTGCACCTTATTATCGAGTGCACATGGTTCTTCGAGCACGGATCATTCAACTTGCCCTATTTTAATTACGTAAATTTGCGAGTAGATGTAATTGGAGTTATTTTGAAAAATACGGAATACGGACTTATTAGTAAAAATAAATGAACATTATCGAAGAAAAGTTCTAAAGGAAAAGTGAATAACAGTGAAAGAAAGTTAAAAATCAGTTATTAGTAAACAAAATTACATTACACGGACAATTGAATTATAAAAACGTTACTTTTGTGCAACGGTAATCCTAAACGAAGTAAATTAAACTAAAATATAGTGAGTCGGCGAACAATTATTAGTGTTTATTAACAACTGTGAATGTTTTAAGGTGAACTTTGGACCTATTGGTAAGAATAATTACCTACCTACATATATGTTGAAAGTTAAGGAAGCTATTCGAAAACTGTGAATTACTACTAAAGTATTTTATTTGTATTGTTGTAAATAAAAGATATTAAATATGGAGAGCGATGAAAATCAAATGTTGCTACAAGTTGATACATTTGAAAAGGTACAAAAGACGTACGCTAATTACAAAAAATCGCCTAAGGACAGGATAACCGTAGGTTATATACAGAGTAGAATGGAAACTTTAGAAACATATTGGAAGGAATTTAAGTCCGGTCATGAGAAATTAGTTATGGCTGTTTCTAAAAAGCATAGACACATGTTACCGTATTTTGCGGAAGATATATTCGATAAATTTGAAGAATTATATTTTACGTACAAGGGCGAAATGAAAACTTCATTAAATAAATTAATGGTCGATATGAAAAAACCAGACGATCTGCACAAAATAGATGACATGAGACCATGTGGTTCCGGGAGTGATATAAAATTACCCAGTATTTCGATTCCAATTTTTGAAGGCAACTAAACGGAATGGCAATCGTTTCACGATCTCTTTATGGCATTAATACACAAGAATGAGTCATTAGAAGATGTTCAGAAACTACATTATCTTAAGAGCAGCTTGAAAGGAGATGCAGAAATTTTGTTGCGCCAGTTTTCTACTACGGATGCAAATTATGCTGAGGCTTGGTCCATTTTGAAAAAGCGTTATAACAACAAAAGGTACATTGCTAATTGCGTATTTAAACAGTTTTTTAGACAGAAAACACTATCTCAGGAGTCAGCTTCGTCCTTAAGGCAACTGCTCGATACGTCAATTGAATGTATGAATTCATTAAAAAATCTTGGCTTACCAATAGCGCAATGGGATGCAATCATAAACTATGTCATCGTGTCAAAGCTGGATCCTGAAACACATAAACAGTGGGAAATTACAATAAGTAGAGATAGTACTGATGACTTACCTGGTTTTGAAGTACTGAAGGCCTTCCTGGAAACACGTTTTCGCATGTTGGAGATGGTGGAACCTGAAAATAAAGCTTACAAACTAGTTAAACCTAAGACATTTCATGCGACTTCCACTAGCGAAAATAAATATTGCCCCTTCTGCAAAGAAACTCATTTTATATTTAATTGCAAGGAATTCGCTAAACAACCAATAGAAGAGAGATACAGCTTCGTCCAGAAAAACAACTTGTGTTTCAATTGTTTAATTCCAAATCATTCCGTATTTAAATGCAGGCAGTCAAATACGTGTAAAATATGCAACAGACGACATCACTCTTTATTACATCGTACATTTTATAAAACAAGCAGGTGAAGTAAGGGCAAATACAGAAGAAACTACAACAAATACACAAGAAGTTAGCAAGGTTACAGCACATATGTCAAGTGGAGAACAACCCGCTCAACAAGTTTTGTTAGCGACAGCATTGGTAGAGGTGCCTTCGCGAACGGGACAATTGCACGTCTTTCGGGCTCTGATTGATCAGGGCTCGGAGGCCTCATTCGTGACAGCGCGAGTGGTCGAGTTATTAGGTCTGAAGAGGACTCAAATCAGCGGCGTGGTGTCAGGAATTGGTGAAGGTAATAAAGTTTATATTAATCATTTAGTAGGATTACATATTAAGTCGAGGCATGAAAGTGATTTTTCTATTGATGTTAATGCTTATGTTATGAAATCGTTGACTCGTCGACTACCTGCTAGGGAAATAAGAGGGTACTATTGGCCTCAACTTAAAAATGTGAAGTTAGCTGATCCCAGCTTTAACGTCCCGGGTCGGATTGATATCCTACTCGGAGCTGACGTTTTTGGGAAAATTATAGATTTAAGTCTGCTAAAGGGACCGGGCGATGTAATCGCTCAACGCACACACCTAGGCTGGATATGGACAGGTGATATATACACAACTCCTACTAAAGCACAAAAAATTATTAGCTTACATGTCACCAGGCTCGTAGATGAAGACAACAATCTATTGAAAAAATTTTGGGAAATAGAATCGGAAAAATACACGAGTAAGAAAGCATGGACAAAGGAAGAAGAAAGATGTGAAAGACACTACATAGATACAACGACAAGGGATACATCGGGAAGGTATGTAGTCCATTTACCTTTAAAGCATAGTATTAAGGAAACAGTGAAGGCATGCGGCGAGACTAAATACCTGGCCATCAAACGATTTAAACAGTTGGAAAGGATGTTTATCAAGCATGAAGATTTGAGAACAGAGTATAGGAATGTGATACATGAGTACTTAAAGATGGGTCATATGAAGAAAGCTGAAAAAGGAGAGGAAGATGAAGCAATTTACTTACCTCATCATGCTGTCGTAAGAAAGGATAAAGACACTACAAAGGTAAGAGTTGTTTTTGACGCTTCAGCCAAGGGTTCCAATGGCCTCTCCTTAAACGACGTCATGATGATTGGCCCCACTTTACAACCTGATCTTCGTGCTCTTATCACTCGCTGGAGGTCTCACAAAATATGTGTTGTCGGCGATATATTCAAAATGTATCGTCAAGTAAGGATGACTAGCAAACACACAAATTTACAACGTATTGTTTGGCGAGATGATATTTCTGGAAACATAGAAAGTTATAAATTACTTACCGTAACGTTTGGAACCGCTGCAGCACCATACCTTGCTGTACGGTCTATACACCAGCTGGCTGATGATGAATGTGACAGGTACCCTCGAGGATCTGCTGTCGTTAAGAATTCGTTCTACATGGACGATTTAATGACCGGACATGAAGATCTGTCGGAAATAAAACAAATTTGCGATGAAGTTAAGAATCTGTTAAAAAAAGGTGGCTTTCAAATGCAGAAGTGGTCTAGCAATTCTGATGAGTTGCTGCGGTTTCTTCAAGATGACAAAGACATTTCGAAAACTATGGACAGCATAGAAATAAAATTAGATACGGTGATAAAAATACTTGGTCTTACATGGGACAGAAAAAGGGATACGTTCAAGGTTACAGTCAACTTACCGGAAACCAGGAAACCTGTAACAAAACGGTTAATATTATCAGATGTGGCCAGGCTTTTTGATCCATTTGGCTGGCTCTCTCCAGTGATTATCACTGCTAAGATTATGATACAGAGACTGTGGTTAAGTAATCTTGGCTGGGATGATGAACTACCTTCTGAGCTAGTAGAGGAATGGCTTAGTTACAGAGAGGCACTTCAAGAGCTGCAAGGCATTGAAATCCCACGCTGGATTAAAACGACGTCACGTTGTAAAGAAGTGCAATTGCATGGATTCGCAGATGCTTCTTCCGTTGCGTACGCAGCAGTGGTCTATATCAAGGTTTTAGATGAAGATGATAGGGTCCACGTCACAATGGTGGCATCCAAAACCAAGGTGGCACCATTGAAACAATTGACGATTCCGAAATTATAACTTTGCGCTGCGGTGTTATTGGCTATGCTATTGCACGAGTTATCTGGCCTATGTGATATACATATGGATCAAATATATGCCTGGACTGATTCAATGGTGGTTCTGTCTTGGTTACAGTCTCAACCAAGTCGATGGCAAGAGTTTGTTGGCAATAGAGTGTCGGACATAATTCAGTTGATAGACAATGAGAGGTGGTATCATGTTCAATCAACCGACAATCCCGCTGACCTCGCGTCTAGAGGGTTGGCGCCAATTGAAATGGCAAACAATGACATGTGGTGGACTGAACTAGAGTGGTTAAAAAATAAAGGAATGGATTTACCAAAGCATTATATACCTCAAACATATTTAGAGATAAAAAGATCGTTTAATGTAGTTTTAAAGGAAAAACCAGTTTGGGAAAGATTTTCATCTATGTTACGAATGAAAAGAGTTCTTGCATGGTGTTTACGATTTCTACATAATAAAAATAAAAATGAAAAGTATTTAACTACGGAAGAAATGAATGAAGTTGAAGAAAAATTTATAAAATACTACCAATACTTAGTGTACGAAGATGAAATTAGAGATCTAAATAAGAAAGGAAAGATAAAAGGTAGAAGTTCTTTGATAAGTCTTACACCTTTCTTAGACAAAAGGGGGCTTCTTAGAGTAGGAGGGCGACTAGCTAATGCTAATATAAATGAGAATGCTAAACATCCAATTATAATATCAAAAAGGCAGCATATTACTAAGCTTATAATTAACGAAGCCCACATAAGAACTCTTCATGGAGGTTTTCTTCAGATGCTTACATATATCCGCAGCAAGTACTGGGTAGTTAGTCTGAAGTCTGCTCTCAGAGCAATTATTCGTAATTGTAAGGTGTGCATAATTGACAAGGCAAAAATTAAGCAGCAGCTGATGGGCCAGTTACCACCTGCAAGAGTGAATCCAAATCGCGCTTTCTTCAACAGTGGAGTTGATTTTTCGGGACCTGTGCAATTGCGAACGTCAAAGGGCCGTGGTTACAAATCAACAAAGGGCTATATCTGTGTCTTCGTTTGCATGTCTACGCGAGCTATACATCTCGAAGCTGTTACGGATTTAACATCACAAGCCTTTATTTCCGCATTTAGGAGATTCGTTGCAAGAAGAGGTCACTGCAGGAACTTGTGGAGTGACAACGGCACCAACTTTGTGGGAGCCGCAAAGGAATTAAAGTGTATGTTTGAACAGGACAAGGCTAATCTGGCGAGGGAGGTAGCTGAGCTCCTATCAAATGATGGCACAACATGGCACTTCATTCCGCCGAAGGCACCCAATTTTGGTGGGCTATGGGAGGCAGGCGTTCGGTCGGTTAAGAAACATTTATCGAGAATAAACGGAACTACAAAGCTAACCTATGAGGAAATGGCAACACTATTGGCGCAGATAGAAGCCTGTCTAAATTCGAGACCTATCTGTCACTCCGATAACACCAGTGAAACACTGGATCCACTCACCCCAGGTCATTTTCTCATTGGTGAGCCAATAATTAATATACCCGACATAAATTATGAACACAAAAACGTAGGTATGTTATCTAGATGGCAATTTTTACAAAACAGGATGCAAGATTTTTGGCGGAGATGGAAATCTGAATATCTCCACTCATTACAGCAACGGCATAAATGGCAAAACACAGTGCCGTCTCCATGTATTGGAGATATCGTAATCATTAAGGAAGATGATCTCCCACCAGCGAAATGGCTATTAGGAAAAATTATAACACTACACCCTGGTGCTGATCAACTCGTCCGCGTGGCAACAGTGCAATGCAAGGGAAATAATATTCTTAAGAGACCATTGTCAAAGTTAATATTACTTCCAATGAAACCGAATGATGAAGAACAATGTCACTGCTAAGGGTTATACCTAAAAGTGGTCAGCTAATTTCACATTTTCTATATTACATAATTTATAAGTAAACTAAAATTACAATTATTTTAATAATATTTCATTACATCATATCACTGAAATATCTATATAAAAAACAAAATCATAAAAAAAATGGAAAAGATAAAATACGAACTTGCGTCTTCCTTTAACTTTCAATGTACCATGCTAGTAACAATAAGCCACCGAGGACTTCGCACCTAAACAATGTTGCAATGATAATGGGAACAATTTTTGTTATAGCTTATTTTAAGTTTAAATCTGTAAGCCTTTTAGCCTTAAGTTTGTGTATTTTTATCATAACATATTAATTACTTTATTGCATAAATAAATGTAAACCTATTTTTCGATTTAAGATTTACTAATATTACTTTGTTCACGCCTATTAGTTGTGTTATAAGTGCTGAAATGTTAAATTAATTTCTAAAGGTATTGTTACATACGGATACAGTCCACGTTTAGAATTATGAAAAAAAAATAGTGAAGTAATATAAATTAGCATTAAAAAATTATATTTAAGATTTATTGCTTGTTCTTTTCTACTTCACAATATATCTACTTAATCATAAGATTGTTAGAATAAATACTTTATGGTGCCTAGTCCTTCGATATTTTGCAAATAGTAGGAATTTTGTACAAGTGCCCTCTCTCCATATATGTGCTGCATGTTATAATACGATATGTTTAAACTTGAGCGAAAAGTTGATTTTACTGTCGATATTTCAATTCTCATGAACTGTATATATTATATAAGTTTAAAAGTTAAGGTATAAGTTGTAACTTTATTACATTACATTTTGTTTTGAATGTTTGTCTTTTTTGAGCACTTAGTTAAAAACTGTAGTTTTTGGAGGGCGGTATGTTTATTACATATTTAATATTTTTGCAAGATGCCGGTTAGCCCTATATATTATCTATATATAATACAATGTATATCGCTGTAGTTTTTTTGCGCGGCAACAGATGTGATCATGTGTCAACTCAGTACGAATAAAGTAATCATTGAGTGAAGACAGGTTTCTTTCATTATTTCACCTGCAAGCAAAAGTGCACCTTATTATCGAGTGCACAACTACATAATGGGTGATATAAACATATAATGATAATTTAGTCTTTTTTAACTATGTTATGCCTGGGAAAACCTACATAATACATTGTAGTGTATGTGCCTCCACCCTACTAGTAGTGTATGAAATACATGTACTCTTAAGTTTATTGATCATTATAATTAAAGTCTTGAACTGGGAACTACGTCTTATATTTATTCAACACCTTTCCGACATCACATGGCGACCCTGCCAGGCGGTGCCCTGCGATAATGCAGGCGCACCGCCGGGCCTATTTAAAATTAAAAAATAAATATAAATACTATTAAATTAAATAATGAAGTGAAACGACTGACAAAAGAAATATTATTACGGAACGGACGAAATACCGGATGTGACGAAAAATTAATAAATATGAATACAAGAAGAGGCCACAATAATAGTTGACTGAAAAATTAAAAACTATAACATATATGAAGTAATATAATATATTTATCTTTAATATAACTATGAAGGCAACTAAGAAAGAATAAGGAGAATAAAAAGTGATTTCTTAAATAATGATCAAAGACCAAAATTCGAGAAACGGCAAATTAATTTAATAAGGAAAGGAGCAGTCGAGCTTTGTCCAGTAAGATATGACAATTAAACCGAAAAGAAAAAAGAAGATATAAGAGGTAACATTGCATCAGCGTTATTTTTTAACATTTAATTTTAATTATTTTTTATTAAATAAATAAGTAATGCATTAAATATTAAATGTACGGTATTTACAAGTAACTTGAAAATATTTGTCATATTTATCATAATATTTATAATATTTTAGTAGGTATTAAAAATACAATATATTAAGTTACATTTTACGATGACAAGGTTCTTATTAAAGTAAATATATTTTTAAATTCAGCCTATTTTTTTCTGTTACAAATTTTATTTAAATGTAAGTATACAATTTTGAAAAGGGTTTTATAAAAAAAATCGCTATTATTATAAGTTATAATAATATTTCTTCTTTTCTGAAAGCATGAAAACCTTAAAGTAACTATATAAATAAATACATAACCTTTAATAAATGACCTTAAAGTTAATATAACCTGCTTAAAAATCAAAATTGGAAATAAATTAAGGTTTTGTTTAATATAAACTTAAGGTTTTAATAATAATGTTTCTTAACAAAGTTAAACACGGACATAAAAAGTTGACATATATTACCTCATTTTTGTACAATATTAAAAAGTATATATTTAAAAGATGTGAGGAATGAGAGAAGTATTCAAAATTGTGAATACGAAGTAGATAATTAGCTATTTCAGTGATAGTCGGGTGCGCAAACGAGTATTATGGAAATGCTAAAAAGTCAATGAGAACTTTTCGTAGACATCAGGGTTTTAGAAAGGATAAAAAGTACATATAATATGATGTCAAGTTAATTGCAAAATGCATTATTATTGTCGCCCACCTATATACCTACTTGATCATGTTAACATGTTGTTGTATGTAACGTTGGTTATTACCAAAAATGCGACAGGTTTAATGACGTACGAAATAAAATCGCATGCGTATCCTGAATTGACTCAATTATATTTTGTATAACCTGACCTGATCATGATCATGAGATTATAATCTTTTTTTTTAATGAAATTAATTTTATATTTTGTTTAACTGATTTATTTTACTCAATTTAGGAATTATATAAATTTAATGGCTAAATAACATTGTATTTTATTTTAACCTTCAATATTAAATTTATTATTATGTAATAAGATTCAGGGCTCATATACTCGTAATATTACTAGCTGTAATAAGGTATGCGGTCATTCGCGCTCCGAGCAGAGTGTTTATTATATTAATTTTTCATTATCTCTTAAACTATGCTTCCAAATAACATGCTATAAAGACCTAAGTTTATCTTCATAAAAATGTCTTGATGGAGTAACTTTCGTTTGTAAGGATTAATATACCATGCCTAATAATAACGCTCATAAATCACTTTTTAATTTTCAATAATATTTTTGTCACAAAATACCATATTGTGGC